AGTCCATTAAAGTGATCAATCTGGACCCTCCTCTGTGGACTTGAAGGACCTGGACCTCTGGAACATTCACAGTCTGAAGGTAGAACTCTGGTCAGTAGATGAAGGTTCTGCAGACACAGAACCAGATGTTCTGAGGAGGAACTTTATTCAGATTTTTTTCTGCATAATGGCCTGACTGGGAAACAAACACATCTGTCTGCAGCCTCTGTTGAATTCCTGCAGCTCGCTCGTTCAGCCTGATCACTCGTTAAAGACCTGAAACGCCGGCGCTCTGATCGGTGCGTCCGCTGTGTGGAAACGCCGCCGCAGATGTGTGTTCCTGTTTACTCTGAGCGGGAGGTAATTGAGGAAGTCTGGCTCTCTCTTCAGGAGCTCTCTGCTGCTCGGCGGGAGTCGTGTCGCTACCGAAGCAAACACTTCACATCCCTGCCTGTTTATCTGCCCGTCCTCGCATGCCTCCCTTCCTTCTTCTCACGCTGGAGGGAAGGATCTGCTTCTCGGCCTCGCCCTGCAAGAGCTGCAACAAAAGAGGCAACCCGGCTGCCTTCTCCCGCTACATCCATCCACACGTCAGCATGCAAACGGCTTCCTCCCCGCACCTGCCGACGCTCACCTGGAACTGGCCGGTGTAGTCGTCGTCCGTGGTTCCCTCCCTGCCCTCCTTCAGCGCGATCAGGGTGAAGCCTCGGAAGTACGAGGGGCTGGTGGCCAGGAGGTCGACTGCAGGAAGGAGGACAGAAACAAAAGGGCCTCAAGAAACATGAAATCATCTCCTGGAAACTCAAAGAAAGAAGAGACTCTAAATCAGACCAGAAGAGTCTGGGAGATGCTGTTCACCCCATTAAACCCCAGAACAGCTTTATCAGCCTTTCTAATACTTCTTCTTCTTGTCCCTCGGCCGTGTCCTTCACAGGTCCCTGGATTTAGCCACAGATTGCTAAAATGTGGAAAAAATAAAATAAATAAAGCCCTCAGCGGGGAGACTTTAAGACAAGGTGACTCTGGATTGTTTCTGCATCAAAACTGCATCGAGCCAAGTCTCATTACTGTGAAACCCTCCCGCCGGAGTCATCAGCGTTTTCATTAATTAACCTCACATTTAAAAACAACAAAAAGAAGAAGAGTTGTATTCAGAGTTGGAAACTGCTGAGTGCTCTTTTTTTACACTCATCAGGAGTCTGTGTGAGTCTTTTTCTCTCTTAATCCACGAGGCAGGTTCGACGCTGTGGATGTGTAGGGGTCAGCCTAATTGGAGCCAGATCCAGGGAGTGTGTTGCATGTTAGTGTGTGCAGGAAGAGCAGAGGAAGTGAATATAGGTCAGACATGAGAGCACCAAGTCGCCTTATCAAGCCAGGAGCCACAGGGACCAGGCTGGGCTGGAAATCCTGCTGCAGGCTGCTCAAATGTGTGATCCTCGAGGTTTGTAATGTGAGCAGGAGCACGGTGGTGACCCATGCTCGTGGTTCTGCTCAGAAAACACACAGAAATAAGAGGATTTTTTAAGTTTTACAACTTGCTAAACTGCCCACTTGGTCTAATTTGGTGCATTTACGCACCGGCTGCGCAAATGGAGCGTAAAAAAAAAAAAAGAGCCCACCTCTGTAGGTGCTGCCCGGCTGGTAGCTCTCCGGGTCTCCCTCCACTCGGAGCCGGAACTCGTGGTGCCCATCCCTCCGGGTCCCCTGGGTCTGCGCCCGGAGGATTCGCCCGCAGTACCCGTCCGCCCTGCCTCCGGACGGCTCCTCCACGAAGGCGACGGCGTTGCACACGAAACTCGACGCGAAATAGTACTGCAGGAGCAGCAGATGCAGATACGTTCCCATGTCGGAGCTGCAGCCCGGAGATGAAGTGTGCGGTGGCGGTTCAACCAAAAAACCAGAAAAAATCAAATAAAAGAAGAAGAGGAAGAAGAGAGAAACCCAGCGGGAGGAACGGAGCGAACACAGCGGACCGAGGCTCAGTTCCTGCTCCCTCCCACAGGAACTCCCACCGAAGCGTCACCGTCACAGCGAAAGGTGAAGACAAGGAGACGAGGAGTCCATCCCGAAGTGGAGAGAGCGCGTCTGGGGCGCAGCGCGGAGCCGAGGGGCGGGTGGGGGGAGGTGGGGGGAGCACCGGAGAGGAGCACCGGAGAGGAGCCGCCGCTGGTCCCGGATCAGCCCCGCAGAGAACCGCCGGATCTGCTTCACTTCAGGCGACAGAGAGAAGGTCTCCAACTGGAGCTCCGCGCTCTGACAGGAGCCGCTTCAGTCCCGGCTCACTGCGCCGTGCACGCGCCTCGCTGTGCGTGCGCGTGAGCCGCCTCGCACATGGAGGAAAAAACACAGAAACGTCCTTCCAGCTGTTCACAACCACGACGTTCTCTGGACAAAACAGGAACCAGAAGCTCAGAAGTGACTTTTTGTTATATTAAATGTGAAAGAATGAATTAAACATCACGTGATCATTGATCCTCACCTCGTGCGCGCAACTTGTGCTCCACAGTTACGCACAATGAGCAGCATTCACGGACACGGAGATGATTGAATTTCCTCCTCATCAGACTGGTTTCATTGTTTAGCTCCACAGTTAGGCACAAAAACTTATTTTTCTGATTTTTACACACTTCAGAGGGTTGTTTGCTCATTTTATGCATTTTTCTTCCAGTTTAAGATAAATAATCAATAAATTCCTCCTGATGTTGAGGATGTAACACATTAAAGAACATGTCTGTGTCTGAGAAGCACCTGAAATGTGACTCATTAAAGAAGATCATTCATTTCATTCCTAGTAAATCTATTTATGAACCTGGCTGCTGGTTAAAAGCACAGATTTCTGTGAGGACATCCTTCCTGGCATCACTCCCACCAGCTCCAGCAGAGTTTATGGTCCAGCAGGTGTCGCCAAAGTCTCTCCAGGTCCGTCTCCGTGAAGCTACTTAGTAAAAGTGTCACTCTGCTCATCTGCTCCTCAACTTTTACGATAGTGAACAGAGAAGTACGAGGGATTATGGAAACTCGGGGGTTTAAGGTCTCCTATTAAATGTGTAGTTTGGACTCGGCCGACTTGGATGATATGTTTTTAAACTTAACTTAAACTCCTTCCTTTTATATGAGCTCTGATTAGCCGACTTCGGCTTCTCGTGGGTAAATATTGAAATGAGCTGCGTCCACATGCCAGACATGTGTGTGTTAGCTGGAGATGGTTAAACCAAACAGCCTCTGCGTGATGGATCCCATCTGGAGCGTCCAGAAGCAACCCGGCGACCCCTTCACAATGAAAACAACCTGTTTGTGGAGCAGCAGAGGCCTTCCTGCAGTCAGACGGGCCACTTTTCATATTAAAAACAGAGAGTTTTGGCGTGAAATCTGCTCGTCTGGTCGCCTGCAGCGGCTGAAATATCACTTTAACCCTCTGAACTCTGAGAGCTTTCTGCTGCCGTCTCATTTTTCTTCACTGTGGGTTCATTTTTCACTGCAGCCTAAAGTCCTGCAGCTCTCTGGAAACAGATAAAGCAGAGAAAACCCAGAAACATCTCCTGTGCTGTGGCTGTAGTGCCACAAGTTCAAACAAATACAGAACAAAAGCTGAATTTCTGGAGAAATAAAAACCTGGAATCATTTTTCAAAGTGCTTTAAAGTGTCACCAATAATAGAAAAGCTGTGGCTCTACATATTACAGATATTTTACCATTAATATTTACTACCTGTCTCCTCTCTGCTCTGCATTAACACTGCCTGCAGTTCAGCCCAGTCCAGAACTCCAGGAATTGTTCTCACGTGACCGTCGCTCATAGTCGAGTCCCTGAAGGTTTCATGGCTGCACAGAGAAATACAGAATTTTTTGCTTTTTAAAGAATCTTTTGGGAGCAAATGGTTTATTTTTGGTGAAGCTATAAAGTGACTTTTAATAAATATCGAACAGCAAAACACACAAATACCTCAAGGACGACTGGGGAGCTGGAAGTTCTTCAAATCTTTCTGGTTTTGCAGCTTCCTGCTCTGATAAATGGTGTCATTTGTGTTTGAATCGCAGAGAAAACAGTCCTCAAAGTCCTCACAGCCTGCAGTTCAGCCGAGTCATCCCTGAATTTCTGTCACCTGAGTGTCAGTCGCTGCTGAGTCATGAATAGATTCACATTTCTGTTGATAAATGCAGATTTTTTGGGTTTTGACAGAATCTTCCCGAGCAAAAAATAAAAAAAGGCATTTAAAAAAATAATAAAAATTAGACGTGCAGAATAAAAAGATTTTGATTAAATGTCTTGATTTTTAAATCATTCTTGGAGTGGAACGATTTTTCATGATTGATTTAAAGATTGTCAGAAAAATGGGAATCTGATGATTCTTTCTGTTTTTCCAGCATCAGACCCAAACGTCTGACGAGCACGACAAAGAAACACGATTCTGAGTTGAGGGGAAGTTTGAATGTAGGATTGATTTTACAATCACGTCTCCTCCTCTCTGTATAAACACTATGTTGTGTTTTAAACTGAAAGTCATGGCTCCTGCACTTCATCTACTTCCTGTCTCCATTTCTTCATGTTTATTTTGTGATGGTTCTGTTGGGTTTGCTTGTGGACGTGTGCTGCTGCCGCTCATGGCCCGCTCACTCTTGGGAAAGAGATCTCAACGGGTCCTTTATCTGGTTAAATAAAGATAAAATTACAAAAAAAAAAACACTGCCTGCAGTTCAACCTGAAGAGCTTTTCGTCCCGTGAGTGTCGGTCGCCGTCACGGCTTCACGTTTGTGTTGAGAAGTGTTGATTTATTTGTTTCTGACAGAATCTGGGTGAAGCAAAGGTTTAGTTTTTGGCATTTAAAAATAAAGAGACATGTTTGTGCTTTAGTCGGAAAGTTTTCTGACTGAACGTCACACATAATTATTTTAAGGATCATCAATAAATGAAACACATTTTAGTTTTTAATAGTGTCAGACTCAAACACCCAAATAGAAAAAGAAAAATAACCCAAACACAGTCCTGAGCAGACCAGAACTTGGCTGGTCGATGTGAACACTGCCTGCAGTTCAGCCGAAAAGTCTCTGAATTTTTGCTGCTTGTGTGTCGATCACATCTGAGTCACTGAAAGCTTCACTGATGCAACAAGAACCACAGAATTTTTTGTTTTTTACAGAATCTGGTTAAAGTAAATTGTGTATTTTTGCCGACTTTTCAAAATAAAAGAAAGAGAACAAAGTCGCATTAAAAGAAGATTTGAGCGTTTCTGTCTGATGGATGATGAGATTTCTTTTTAAAGACAACGTGCCTTCACTGAGTTCTGGGGATCGGAGGGTTAAACCTGCTCAGCATTTACATCCGAGGTTAAACAGCGTGGTCTCTGTCGTACGTTTAAGTCGGGAGAACTCAGCCGAGTATGAAACGCTTTCCTCTCGACGTCTGAACAGATGAAATGTTTCTGAAAGGAGTCGTGTAGCCGCTCCAACAACAAAAGCGTCCGTCTTCAGTCAACCTGGCTGCTTAAATAAGACTTTCTTGAGGATAATCAGCCTCCGACGCGGCGGCTCGGCCCAGAAGGGGGCATTAAATATGAAAATTGCACTGATCTTAGAGTGTGGAAGTCATTTCCTCTAATGGACTATAAGGGTTCTAAAAAAGCCCTCGATATCGTGCTCAAGTGTGTAATAGAATTTCTAATCATTTCACGAAGCCTTTTTTTTATTTTTTATTCTGCTCATATAAAGCATTTGCTTCATTTAGGTCCTTGTTTCCATCCAGAGTAATGAAGACGAATGGAACGCATCAGATTAAAGAGAACAGATTCCTCATGTTGTCTTCAGGAAGCTGCTCGTTAATTCCACCTTAAACAGGAAGGATGAACCAGAGGCTTCTAGGTGTCCACGTTAACTCCTCACGGTAGAATCCAGCACTTACGTTGGTTAGAACCTCCTGGTACTGTCGGGCCTCCAAGTCTACTCACACCTACAATCTTCTTCTTCTTCTTTTGGGTTTATTGGTGTTTAACAAACCAGCTTCAGGTTGGGTTACCTCCACCTGCTGGACTGCAGATCAACCAACAGCCACCAGAACGTCTGGAGATGAACTGAAGCTTCCACTTGATGTTCTTGAGTTTCCAACGACTCGTGGAACTCCTGAAGTTTCTATGAAGGAATCATTGAAACGTGAATCTTTGTCTCTTATTTTGGTTCTTTCACAGATTTATTCAAGGTCTTCTGGAGATATGTCAAAATCTGCTGAGTCATAAATATACAAACAGAAAAGCTCATATTCTGGTTAGACGTCCATGTTCTCCTCAGTCGGGTTCTTCTGGTTCCGTCCACCAGCTTCTGGTCCATCTCTGACTCCTCTGGACAGAATCGCTGTGGTTCAACTCAACTCGTCGTCTTTCTGACTCAGACTTGTTCCTTCATCAGTCCACAGGTTCTGGATGGTTCCAGTCAGGACTTTGGGGAGACCAGTCTAGAACCTTCATTC